CATATGATGCTCATTCGGTAACGTAAAGTTAGTCTGTAACTTGTTGGTTCCGTGGTTAGTTGCGCGTGTGTGCTGTGGTTTAGGGATAGTAGTAGTTTGGTGTGGTTATGGATGGGTGGTGCCGCATAGACTGGGTTGCGCCCAGATCAAAATTAGTTTCATCGTAAGGAGAAGAAGCTTGGTCAAGGAGAGTGCTTGATTCTTGAGGTGGAACTAGGGCGTTTTATTCTAGGGCTGGATTGACTAGTATCTTGCAGTTATGTAGGAGGTGGTGGTTCTTGTTTGTTCCATCTGGTCAGACCTTCCAGGGAGTTGAGAGTTGAAGTGACTTGAGACAGGGGATGATGATAGCGTTGGTACATGTGGGTCGCTCGTCCGCCCGCCATGGCGCTATCCAGTCACCCTACCCTTACTAACGTAAGTTAAGTACGAAAAAGTACGAGCGAAAGTGAACTGATGGACCTTGTTGGGCAGGGGTGGAATTTTCGATCTTTTTTTTCTTTTTCGCGCTAGTCAATACTTTCATAAATTTTTTCTTGGAATCGGAAAAGAAAAGAAAAAAAAGTTCAAAGGTCCTTGTGAGACTGTGAGATAGAACGCGACGATAGGATCGCAAAGCCACAGATACTTGAGGGAGATCCTATCAAAGGTTGCCGAACTTGAAGACGCCATTGATCAGGGTAATGTCACGCGAGTTCCATCTACTACTTACTAAGTACTACTGGCCGCAGAATCCTCACGGATAAGGCAAGGCAGTAGGCTGAGATGGAGGGTGTCCTTGGCCCCTGGTTGGCCCCCGAATTCACAACAATGTTCGGGCTGTCACGAGGGGGTTTGCCTGTCGCATGGATGGGGATGGCCATGATTGCCGCTGGGATTGGTATTTCCCCCTCCTTCTCCTCCATACCTGACGATAAAACAGGTTCGCCGCCATCGGAGCAGGAAGGATGAAGAAGAAGACGATTGTATTGATGACGACGATAATAATAATAATTGTTGAATTTTCCCTCCAAGAACAGATCCTGCACATCGTTAACCAAAACGACGACTGGTCGGTAACCGAGCGTCTAATAAATTGCAACCTACGGGCAGAATACCTCAACTAGACTAAAACACGGAATCCTAGCAGTAGCCCGGCGCTTAACACCTGACTAGCTCACTAACATGCCATAGTCGGAACTAATCGAAGACTACGGAGAAGCCTTGAGAGAGATCTTGGTGGATCAGGTTGGGCAGGGAATGTCCTGCTTCCAGACTTGTATATGTGAAACATACAATCTTTGCGTTGAATTTGATACACCAACCCATAGGCCACTTGTTTTACTTTCCCTGCCTAGATATAATCTATACCCAGGGTATGAAAGGTTAAAAGGAGAGGAATAAGGAGAACAGAAGAAGATGCCACTTGTCTGAATATTGGTTCAGCGAACTGACTCAACCATGGTTGTGTAACGGTCCAGCTACAAGCTAAACCCACCAGGATGATCTGAATAGGAGACCATGGATCAGGACCGAATGGGTGGCTTGGGTCCCACAAACACGGTGAGCAGGTGATACGGGTAAACATAGATTCTTCAGAAGTGGTCTAATGAGTTCTTTCGAGTCTAAAACATGAAATAGAATTTTATAAAAATAAAAAGAAAATATTCCTAGCTTTTTTTCTTCTTTGTGTCTATCCATCTGATCTTTCAGTTAAGTTTCGTTTCAGCTGTCTGGATGGGAGTTCCCCGATGATAAGGTAATCATGTCAGCAGCGGGTTAAGGCCAACTGCTCGCGAGCCGTTAATCTGCACGACGGGTAGCCAACTAAGAATGGAGGGGAGCTGGCGACCTGTCATCAAAAAAGGTAGTTCTAGCTTCTCGCAGGAGTTGTCTGTCTTGGGGAACGATTCACCATGGTTTCAACCGCCCTTTGACCTCATAGGGGGAGGGGGACGGGGAGGCCAAGGGTTAAGGATTTATTACCTATTATTGGGCCGATGCAAGTAGTAGACTAGGAAAGCTCTCGCACCGGCGCAAGAGCCATCGTCCAGAAAATTTTTCGTCCAGTGAATTACCTCCCGACGGCCTGATTTATAGTTTGGACCCAATAACCGGTCCTTTTCTCCATCGATGGACACCTTTTCACACTCGAACGGGGTTCTCATTCTGACGGAGTTACTCCGGGCTTCCTTGCCATGAAGTTGACCACTCCGGAGTAGAACTTCCAGTAAGGTACGAGCGTCGATCTGCAGACTACTTACATATATAATTCAAGCACATAAGATGTAGATGCCCAGTGAAAGATTTGGATTGACGGTCCCCATATACAGTAGTGAAGGGGGGATGATAGTAACGTGTCTGTGTGTGGGTTGTAAATTTTTTTTATCTTATTTTATTTTTATATTTTCCTTGGAAGGATGGTCTGATGATGATGGGTCAATCGAAGTAAGTAATTGGGGGGGGGTCAACCCCTGATTGTTAGGTAAAAGGGCAAGGAAAAAAATTAAAATCAAATAGAATAGAATAAAAATAAAAGAAAAAAAAAAACGGAAGAAAAAAAAAAATAGCAGTAGACTCACACCCTCACACACCACACACCACACACCCAAGTGACTAGACACTAAACCCATGATAGTTTAGCCCTGGAGCGGCCATCCCAGTATCAGGCCCACCCTCTTTCAGTCTAGGCTCTAGTGCCGCCCTGCAGCTCCCTGCCTGTTTGGGACGATGCGCCAATGACCAGGCCTCGTCGCCCACACCCTTTCATTTTCGCCCTCGCCCTCGCCCTCCTTTCGGCCCCTGCTCCTGCTCTCCCTCCCCTCTTTTTCTTGTCGCTTCCTTCCTCTTCTTCTTCTGCTTCTTTCTTTCTCTTCTTCTCCTCTTCTCCTCTTCTTTTCCCTCTCCATATTCATTCTAATCGTGACTGTCCGTCCCGGGTTCATTTCTTTTCCCACCCACCTTTTCCCCTTCATTGTGATACCCGAGCTCTTGTAGCTTTGCGCAAAGAGAGCTTTTGTTTCCTTCTGTTGAGATACCCCTTAAAGAGATACCCTGCTCGACGCGCGCCTTTAATTACGAAGCTTCGCCAGCTTCCCTAGCTCTTATTTAATCCCATCCCTACTGATTATAATTACTCGTCTAATCACCACCCGACACCATGTCCGACGTTCAGAAGCCTGTCGAGGAGACTCCTGCGGCTGCCCCCGCCGTTGCTCCTGCTGCTGAAGCGCCTGCTGCCACCGAAACCCCGGCCACCGAGACCCCCGCCGCTGAGGAGCCCAAGGAAACTCCCGCTGAGACCACTGAGGCTGCTGCCCCCGCCGCCGCGGAGGAGTCTAAGACCGAGGAGACTCCCGCCGAACAGCCCAAGGAGGAGCCCAAGCAGGAGGAGGTGACCCCCGCTTCTGAGGGTGTCCTAGGTTACAAGGCCCCCGGTCTTGTCAAGTAAGGCGCCACTTGTTGCGACAGGTTTACAATATGCAGTGACTAATGGAGTGTGACACAAAACAGGGGCCTCCGTTTCGCCAAGCGTTTCTTCTACTTCAGCGACGACGCTGTTGAGTCTAAGCAGCTGTCTGCCTTCCACCAGAACGAGAAGGCCGCCGTCGCCAACCCCATCGCCGCCTGGGCCAGCCAGACCGGCAAGGGTCTTCTGTTCTTCACCAAGCGCGCAGAGGACAAGGCCTCTCCCGCCGGCATCTTTAACCTGGTCAGTAACTATGATAGACAACCGGATAAACTTTGCGCCACTTGCTAACTCACTTTCCAGGCTGATGTTTCCGACATTGCCAAGGAGGGCTCCACCGAGCTGCACTTCAAGGTCAACGGCCAGAAGCACACCTTCCAGGCCTCCAGCACCTCCGAGCGTGACAGCTGGATTGCCGCCCTCGACGCCAAGGCTGCTGAGGCCAAGGCTGAGAAGGAGGCTGTGACCTCCAGCGAGGGTTACAAGGCCGAGCTCGAGAAGCTGAGTAAGTCACATTCGTAGTTGAACAGCGTATGAAGTTAGGCAGCTAACCCCCAACAGGCAAGCCTGCTGTTGCCGAGCCCGCTAAGAAGGCTGAGCCTAAGGAGGAGGCTGCCCCCGCCGAGGACAAGAAGGAGGACAAGGCTGCCTCCAAGAGCCGCTCTCAGTCTCGCAAGAGGGCCAGCATCTTCGGAACTCTTCTTGGAAAGAAGGAGGAGGCGAAGGAGGAGGCTGCCCCTGCTGAGGACAAGGAGGACAAGGCCGAGGAGGCTAAGCCTGCTGAGGCTGCTACTGAGGCTCCTGCTGCTGAGGCTCCGGCTGCCGCTGAGACCACTGAGGGTATGTTTACCGTATTATAATGTCTTCAGTATACGAAGTACTAACGCCAACATAGCTGCTCCTGCTGAAGCCAGTGACAAGAAGGAAGAAAAGGAGGAGAAGAAGGAGGAGAAGGAAGAGAAGAAGGCGGAAACTCCTGCCCCCAAGTCCAAGCGTGCTTCTCTTTTCGGCAACTTCTTCCAGAAGGTCACCAGCCCCTCCCACGAGAAGTCGGAGAAGGAGGCCACTGCTCCTGCCGAGACCGCTGTTGCTAGCACTGCTCCTCAGCTGGACAACCCCGTTGAGGAGGCCGCTGTGAAGCCCATCGAGCCCGAGAGCGTGACTGCTCCCGCTGAGGCTGAGGCTGCCAAGGACGCCGCTCCCGCTTCTCCCGCCGCTGAGACCCCCAAGGACAAGCGTCGCACCTCTTTCTTCGGCAACTTCGGCAAGAAGAAGGGTGACTCCGACAACGAGGGTGCCGATGGCGAGCCCAAGGCCAAGGGCAACAAGCTTGGTGGCATCTTCCGCAAGCCCAGCAAGGCCGTGAAGTCCGAGCCCAAGGAGACCAAGGAGGCCACCGAGGCTGAGGCTGCTCCCAAGGAGGCTACCGTTCCGGAGTCTCCTGCCGAGGAGAGCGCTAAGCCCGCTGAGGCTGCTCCCGCTGAGGAGTCCAAGCCCGTCGACGTCGCCACCTCTACTCCTGTTCAGGCTGCTGCATGAAGTGCTTCCAGCAAGGAAGTCGAGTATGAGAAATGGTGGGACCAGCGGTATTCGTATCCTAATCCTTCAACTTCTCGATGATCAGTCGTTCTGGAAAATGAAAAGCCCGGAAAAGAAAAAAATACATCCAATGATTGTTACTTTTTGTGTCTAATTGATGTTCCCACTGCCACCATTTTGGTAACCCTCCCTGTGCAAGGCGAGGTCTGCCAAGATGAGTGTCAATGATACCCTCTGCTGCTTTGGCGGTCATTTCCGAGCCCGGATGTCTAGTGCGTGTCCGGTGCTGCGTTTCATTCCTTTATGATATGCGTTCCGCAAGGATACCCAACTGGCCTTGTGTGTTCATGTTGTGCGCCGTCCAAACTAGATTGATACCACTTGTTGCTGTTTATTGCTTGCTCTTTGATGTTCTCATGTTGCTGTTTGATGCTTTTGTCTTGATACCCTACTGGGAGGAAGGGTGCTTTTTGTCAGCTGGACGGGACTTCCCTCCACTCAAATTGGCCCGAACCGTCGACTACCATGGCTACATGGTGACAGCGTGCTGATAGCGCCATGTATACATGGCACAGCATCATGAGGTAATACTTAATAGAATCCACGTATTGTTAGTAACATATCCACTATACTTTATTTCAATGCCTAGGAGTAGTGTATCCGAGGTGTTAGGCTTGGGTGATTGTCGTACTTTGTTAAGCGCCACAGGCGTAACGTGCTGACGGTCCACTTGGTGTACGGGGTGGGGACTCTTGAATGTAAGCTTATCATAGAAGGCGAGCATGGACGTTGAGCTGGCGGCTGCCGTAGTATGCCGCTGATAAGTGCATAAAATGACCTATCATTCAACAAGTATCCGATATGGTGTAGTGGCTAACATCGCCGTCTCTCACACGGCAGCCGGGGGTTCGATTCCCCCTATCGGAGCTCAAATTCTCTTTTTGTTTTCATTTTTTCATCCATTGCACATTGTTTTTGTGTGTTATACATAAGAAGTCTTTTTTTCTTTTTTTACCTCAAGTAGCTTTTATTTGCTGTCCAATATAACCTACTATCTAAGTACTAGTACATGCGCCACACCTGGGAACTAAGATATGCCCCATTATCTACAGTAACTCTGCATGTATAGTAGTATGGAACCAGCTTCGCATCGTAGATACATATCCACTGGATCGTCATGATGCTATTAGGTCAAGTGCGCTTCTCGAGTTGGTATCTATGGTCATCACATCGCCACCGTTTATTACATGGACTGTTCCTCACCAACTCCCCTGGAAGCCGCATCCGCAGGTGTTGTATATACATGAGAAGTAAGCTTCTGAGCCTGATGAAATTGTAATCTGAGCTTTTGTGTGGCTGGTGGTAAAATACTACTATAGTACAAACCACCCTGTGCTTCTACCTTCAAGTTGTGGATGTTAATGTTGGTTGATTGCCGCCTAGTCGCTCCATATATCTATTTATCTTTCGGCACATCATAATGTGCAAGCAGTACGCAATGGACATACCCCGTCTAGATAACTCTGGAAAAATGTGTACTTCGCTGATGCCTGGGGGTGGAGTGGAGTATAGAATTCTGGACTGGTCTGGACTAGACTGTGCTCCGTCACGCATCAGGGTCGTGTGTATGTCCTTTCCTGAATGTTAGGTATGCTGCCTAGTAAGTAGGATTCCGGTTCGGGTTCTTTGGGGTGAACCTTTATCTTGGCGAGGAAGTTCGTTGACTTGGATGCCTGGAGTTGAATGGATGTGTTAGGCATCAGGGTTCCTGAATTGGGGGGATATAGGTTGATTTGACTGGAAGATATGATGGGTGGTAGTTCGGTTGTGGTTTCTGAGGCATGGCGTATGTGGGTGCCTGGTTGTGTTATCTTGTGTTTAGTAGATCCCTACTGGGAAAGGGCTACTTGTTGTGATAGCAGGGGGGGTGGTAGGGGCTAGACTGATGTGTACTCTGTAGACTAGCTGTGTTGCAGGCGTCGAGGGTAGTGAGGCTGCGATTGTATCTGTGCTTTGGGTGGATTCGGTGATTGTTGTTTCGGATGTGGGGTTTGATTACTACTAGGTGGTAGTAGATAGGTAAGGTGGTGATCCTCTGCTTCATAGGAGTGGATGAATATGGCTGAGGCGAGTTCAAGCGCGAAGATACTGCTGACAGGTGGCCAGAGCTTATATTGCTTGTCTGGCTTGGTAATGTTGGTGATTGGTTCCATTCAGTTGGTGTTGTGTTGTTCTGCAACATGTTTCTTCGGTATATATACTTAACTTAGTTGAAGAGTAGCCGGAGGTAAAGGCTACGACACATACAAAATACCTACATACGCACAACTACCATACACTGCATACAGAGCAAAGCATTGAATGAGAAACTTGCATTCCCCTTTAGACCGAATCAAAAAATGAACAGGGATAATCGACAGCATGGGCACTTGACAACCCACGCAGCCCTGGCAGCCTGGCGCCTGCACGGAGCGCACGGGTAATTCGCCTAGCGCCGGAACCATCACCGTCGCCAATTCGACAGGAGGGGAAGAAAGGGTTCAAGGAGGGGGTAAAAGGGAGAGGGAGCATATGCAAAAGGGATCACACATCACGGCTAGTACTGCTATTGTTATTCGTGCAATTGTCTCGCATTCGTAGGGTCTGCCTAAACAGTTTTGAGAGAAAGGGACTAGTTGTACTCAGGGCTAGGTGTACCATGCAGCACGAATCAAACCCGTAAGTTTCAAGATGAACACGAAAATGAAAGCTTGGTTTTACGCTTCCCGAGTCGTAGACAGTTTCGTTCTACTGTGTAGTGCTGACCAGGCATCATCGACTCCCTGGACAAGACGTCATCGCCGGCGGCTGCCTGGGGACAGGACAGGCATGGTATAACCGGCCTGCATACGGCGGAGATGCGCGCGCGCCGCGGCTGATGTATGCAGACGCTGATTGGCATCCCCACTCGGAGCAGGTTGCAACGGTATCTACGACGCCCTAGGGCATGTACATACGTACGACATGTGCGATCTCGAGATGTGTTGAATTGTCCGTCTCCTGGTCAACTGAGGGGAGATGGTAAATCGGAATTGTTGCCTAGTATTCTCCCTCCATTTACTCCTTCTAGACCCTGATCTTAGAAATGCCAACTTCGGATGGAAAATGGAAATGGACACAAGTGAATTTTTTTTTCCGCTTTGCAGGTAATTGGCTTTTAGGTTTCACATGGGCCGGTTGGTCCCGTGCATTACTAATTAGAATGAGGAATTCCAATAGTCTTGGTCTAGTCTAGTAGTTATCTTTTATGCTCCGCCCGGAATATACGACGCACCTCCCCGGAGATAATACGACACCCCCCCCCCCCGACGAATATACCATCCCTGTTGCAGCGAGAATAATCTCCTTAAAATCTGACGGGACCGGATTCGATTTAATTCCCTTGTATTTGTGTGATTCCTTCCTAGGGCAATATTTCGCCAAGGGTCGTTTTAATTTAAATTGTCATTTGTGGTCAGATGAAGGCCGGAACGTCTCGGTGTCTTGATAGAGTTTGACCCAAGTGGAATTTCACGCCCTTCGAGCGACTTTGGCGAGGAGGGGGGCTGCAGGGCGGGGAGGGAATTAGGGAAAGGATCCTCCGACCGGGTGAAAAACCCTGGTTGCAAACCGGCTCTCTGTCCTTTTTGTCTAGTATCCCTTGGTGCGGCATCGTATTCCTGCGGCCCCAGTGAACCGGGACAAGGACACGGTAGCCAGGAGTTGAGGCTTAGATAGATCAGTAAATCCTACAGAGCACAAAGGGGAGTGACAGTCGCACGGGACAAGAGAGTGATGGACACAAGGACAGGTCTCATTCGCAGACAGTTGAGACATTGAGGCTCAGGCTCAGCCCCAATGACACCCCCGGGCGCTGCACCAAATGCAGACCCCGACGGGCTGTGATGAAGGCCCAGAAATGCATGGTGCCTGCTGGTTGGCCAATGGGTCCGGTCGGCGGCACGGGTGCGAACCGGTTTCATCACCCACAGTAAGTCGCGCGGCCTCTTTTTTTTTTCTTAGTTTCTTCCCTTCATATTAGTCTAGTGGTGGTGGAGTTCAATGAAGGAGTCGAAGCAGGGCCAGGAATCCAAGGTTGAGGGGGGCCTGCTGCTACTGGGCCAGTGACCTGCAAGTGACATTTCCGTTGCGGGCTAAATGGAGGAAAGCCTACGTACCTGCCTGGTACTACACAGAAGAATACAGGATAAATGAAACTTGCTGCTCCAGGCACGGGAATGCCTGGGGCTCCTGCAGGCTCCACTTATTGAATCTGGCAGCCAATAGTAGGCTTTACTGTCCCTATGACTCACACCTGCTGACCGCGTAAGATTGACTATCCCCAATCAGGCTAGGGCACCAGGCGGGGGTCCGATCAATGGTGATTGGCGGAGAGATCCGGGCAAGACCGCACACACAAACAGTTAAGAAGTGCCTGGCTTCCCGTCGCTGCCTGGCGCTTCTTTTCTCCCTCCTTTTTCTTTCTCTCCCACTTCATCTTTTCTTCCCACTCCACACATCTCTCTATTCATTTTTATCACAACTCAGTCACCATACAGCATCATACTTATACCGCTTCTGATACTCCGTGCTTTCAAAATGGCCTGCTAAACGCCTCCCCCGCACCAGCTACGTCTTTCTCGTACGAGACAGACACCATAGATCCTCTTCGGACCTCGTCTTTTTCTAATCTCTCCTCTTCCACCCCCTCAGAGTCTCCTGTCCCAGGACCTCTGAACTTTAGCATCGCTTTGCGTAGCTCAAGTTCTCCGAACAACGCTTTCCCGTTCGACATCTCGTCGTTCACCACCACGGATACCCAACAGCAATCATGGCTTCCCACGCCCCCGCCTCAGCAGCCATCGGCTCCAGTGAATTCGATTCTCAGCGACAACAACAACAACAACAACAACAACCCCAGTCCCCTTCCGCAGGACTTTGTGCTTTTTCCCGCTCCGTGTCCCCCGCCGCAACCCAGGGACTCGCGTGCTCAAGCACCGATCAATTCTACCCCTAGATTATCCGCATATCAACCTTCTCTGGTCCAACCAGGGTATCCTGTTAGACGACACTCTTCAGCTTTGCATCAGCAGCTCCCAGGCTCGCCTGCGCAGGTTCCTCTTTCGGCCAGATTAGCCGCTCAATCTTCCGGATATTCCTCGTCTCCGTCTTCTTGGTCTCACCCCGCTCTGCGAAAGCATTTCGCGCGTCGGTTCGCAACACCTGCCGCTTCGAATTCTACTCCTGCAGTGAACAACACTGCCTACTCTAACCGCCCACCCGTCCCTCTATTTAACGACAAGACGGTCAACTATTCCGCCTTTCAGAATCAGCACAACCAAAACCTAAAGAGAAAATACGCTTCGTTCATACACCACCGCCGCATCATGTCTACCCCCAACATCGCTCAAGGTAAGCCCGTCACTTGGGCAGTGCACGCTTATGTATACGGTGCTAAGACAGTTCTAGATTTCCCTGAGCTTTTTGATCTTCAGTCCAACCGCTTTGGGGACGATCTCAGCTCCCCAGAGTCCAACATGCTTTCGCCCCAGATCAACACTTCGTTCTTCAGCCCGATGGGTGAGATTGCTCCTCCGGGCACCGTCTCG